TCCAGAGAAAGGATGTAACAAAACACTCTAGTTTGTTTATTAAGAATCAGAGGCAGCTATCCTCCCTCTAATTAGGTCTCCCATGCAAATACTGAGTCCTTCCGTTGAGACGGCACAGTGTCTTGCTGGGTCTGTTTGCTGGAGGATGGATAAGATGTATCAGGGCACACATGGAATGAGGAAACTCACCCCACAACACCCGGGTTCATTGTTTTGCTTCTCAGAGATTTCACCAGACTACGTGCCCTTTCCCCTACTTTCCTCAGGAACTCTGAGCTGATTAGATAGGGATCCCACACTACCTACAGGTTTCAGGACTTCTTGCTCACCAAACTCTGGAGGCATTAAAGTCAAAGATCCGCATTTCACCCCAGGAAATCATCTAAGCCAAGACCTAGAAAATAAGAGATTCAGCTCAGCAGAAGCACAGTCTCAATTATGGTTCGTCTTTCTCCTTCCGCAGCAGCATTCCCATGCAGGTGAGAGGAAACAGCCCTCGATTCAGAGAGATGGCTGTTTTATCCATCCCTGGACACTGTCACTTACTATTCATCTACCCATTGGCCACGTCACTTCATCTCTCACAGCCTCAGTGTCCAGATCTTCAAACGGGGCTAATAATTCAGGTCCGCTCCAAAGAACTGTTTAAGAACAGATCATGTAAGTTCAGAAACTGGGAGAGCATTGGATGCGCTTGTACTTCAGTTGTGTTATTATGAAATAAACAAGGGTTCATTTACAAAAATAAAGGAAGGTTTCCTCTTGCCATAGAAACAGGTTTTTCCCCCCTACTTTCTGATGCCTAGACGTCTGGAAAGTTTTTTCCCTCAGGTTGTAGAAAGTGTCAATCTGTGTGGGAGGAGATTGAACCTTGAGAATGCATTTTCAGAGTATTTGTTGAAAGAAGGTGGCTTTCTGAGGTAGAAGAACACAGACTTTGTGTGAGCTAAAGGGTCTATCTAGAAGCCTAGGAACTCTTTATTTTTCTGTCCTAAACCACCTGTCTTAACAAAATTGCCTGAAAAAGGAACATTCTTTTTACAACACCTCACCATAGATGTCTAAACTTTTAAAATCTCGACAAATCAACCTATTTGACTCATTGGTTTATTTATTTAATATCTACCACACATTTTCATTAATCTGTTCTTTCATCGACATTCTGTATTTAGGAACTGAATGACCTGTCATCTCAAAGCAAAAATAAAAATGTCTGTTTTCAGGCCAGGGATTTAGCTCAGTGGTTTCATCGCCTGCTGCACAAGCGCAAGGACCCGAGTTCGATCCCGTTACCAAAAAAAAAAAAAAAGGCTATTTTCATTCGTGTCTTATTTATTTATTTATTTATTTTTGGTACCGGGGATCGAACTCAGGACCTTGCGCTTGTGAGTCAGGTGGCGGAACCACTGAGCTAAATCCCCAGCCCCATTCGTGTCTTATTTACACACAACTGTTGTGGTTCATTCCCTTCAACAGTGCTTATTGCAATGCTTATATATACTATGTACAGTTTGGCCAGGTGTGGTGGTGCACACCTGTAATCCCAGTGCTCAGGAAGCTGAGCCAGGAGGATCACAGTGAGTTCAAAGGCAGACTGAACTACATAGTGAGACCCTACGTCAAAGAAACTAAAGAAAAAAATACAGTTTTTATTACATTAGATGGTTTTGATCTTTAATTTTATCAAGTTGGCCTGTGTATATCTATAGTCCTGTGTGAACATTTAAGTACAGGCCTAATGCTCCTACTCAGTTCCATCCATCTTCTTAGTGAAAGAAGGAACATGTGAGGACAACCTTAGCACCCCGAAACTTAGAGGTCAGAGAAGAATGAGTAGCTGCACGGAGTGACCAGTGATTTGGAGGAGGACTGTGGAATTGTCAGGTCCGTAAGCTAGGTTAAAAGAGCTTTGAGAAGGAAGGAGAACAGCCTTGCTTCTGCTCCCAAGAGAGGTCTAGGAACCTGAAGGTTCAGGACCAAACATTAGATTTTGGAATGAGGAAGTCACTGCTGCCCTTGATAAAAGGAATTTCAGTGAAGCACGGTGAGGGTGGTGGTGTGTGGGGGGTAATGTGTCCTTAAATGGTCAACTAAAGACAAGGAGAGGTGAGCATGTGTAACACTGACATTTTATTGAATTTCACTACAGAGGAAAACATAGATTTGGTGGCACATTCAGTAAGACATAAGGGTCCAGAGAACTTTATTAAGGATGGGATTGTACAAGAACAACAAGATAATAGCAACCTAGTAAAAAGGGAAAACTGAAAGCTAGGAAAAGGGGATAACAGAAGGAAAGCACTCCTTGAGTGGGAAGAGGCCATATACCCTGCATAAATCATGACGTTGGTCCAAAGCCAGAGCAGAGGCTGTTCCTCTCTGTAGCAGCAGAGGGAAGGCAGATTGTGGGGTGTAAGGCAGGCTGTCTATGACTTGCTAATGGAAAATGGAATAGCTTCTGTCTGATTGTTATTGTGTTCTCTGTGAAACAAGAGTCAAGGTGATAATATGAACAGAGAGGGGCTGAAGAGGGGAGAGAATTGTGACAAGCCCTCTCGGAACTGGAAAAATGCAGTAGAATTGCCAGGCCATGCTAAGCATCCATCCACGTAGGGTGCAGATTGTGAATGTAAAACCAAGAAGTTTGTACAACGTTGTGTTTTCCTTCAGCTGTGTTTAGCCATTTATATGTGGCATGGAACCAATCAAGACCTGAGTTTAACCACAGCTGAAGGTTTGCTAGGTGAGAGAGAAGGAATGGCAAAGTGTGAATAGGAATTGTTTGCAGTGCATCTTGGGTAATCTGAGCTGAGTAAGGAATAAAGAGGTCAAGAGGAAGGATAAACGGTGAAAAAGTAGAGGAGACAAAGGTGGAGGGACGATAACAGTGAAATGGGCTGGGTGTGGTGGTGTGCCCCTGTAGTTCCAGCTACTCAGGAAGTGGAGAGGGGAGAATGACTTGATCCCTCAAGTTTGGGCAACACAGAAAGACCCCCATCTCAAGTTTAAAAAAACGAAAAAAAAAAAAATTGAGCTGGGAAAAAAGAAGTTGTCGAAATTGAGATGCATGAAATTAAAAGTTTGGAGGTGGTCTATGTAGGTAATTCCAAGGTCAGGATTGTGACTATGGGAGCAAAGGCTGAAGTTGTGTGGAAAAGAAGAGTGCTGAAGTGGGAACTGCAGTGAGAGGCCCGGTGGACAGACTTGCGTGGAGATGGAGGTCTCTTAGCCATGTTGAGAGGATTGGTGGAGGAGAGGAAGGCTTGGTCCACGTGCATAACGGATGACAGGAAGTGGAGCAAGACTGTTAGTGGACTGCAAAGACAGAGCTGCCCTGGGTGGCCCAGAGAGATGGCATGTGCTTTAAGATAGCAGGAGCTTTTGAGAGGGTGGAGGACAAAAATACTCTGAAGTATCGAAGAAGAGTAATGCAGAGACTTGCTCTGAGCACTGAAATGCTGTGGGTATTGATGGCTGTGTGGTGGGGGGAGGCAAAGGGCACAAACACCAGTTGGAAGAATGAAGATGACACAAACAAAAACCAATGGGCGTTTAATAGAAGAGACAGGAAATGAAGACTTACTCATGACAGAACTTTGCAGGAGGCTAAGTGGAAGGGCAGAGTGGCAGAACAAGGTGGGAGATTGTTAGGATGATAATGCGCCAAGATGTATGGAGTCAAGAAGCTAAAGATGATAGAAGACTTAGGAGTCCTGGACCTCTGGGGGGCATCTAGAGGTCCCTGACTTTGGGAAAATGAGGTCAACTCTGTCCCCGAATGCAGGAACCACTCTAGTTCTTCTCTGTGTCCTCCACAGAGTCACATTAGAGAGGCTAACTGAATGGACTAATGAGTGGATCCATGGAGCTCATGAAAGATTGGAGTCATGAGAGGAAGGGAGGCAGAGATTCATTTAGAATATCAGACGGGGGAGGGGAAGGGGACTTCAAAAGGATTAAGATGTGTTATGTGCATGTACCAACTCATCATGATGACTGTAATCATTATGTACTGCAAACATGTACTGCCATAATAAAAATTAAAATTATTACAGAAAGAATGTCAGGTAATAGGAACCTTTTCATTGAGAAACATAAGAGCAAAGCAGAAAGATCAGAAGCTGGAGTCAAAAGACATAGTGGAGTTCCTAACCTGCAACTCACTAGCTGTAGGTCTCCAAGGGAAAATATCACCTTTCTACGTATCTCTTATTTAATCCTTCCCCGCACACACACCCTGGTGCAGGAGATCAGCACAGAACCTTGAACGTGCTAGGCAAGTGTTCTACCTCTGCACTACATCACCAGCCTTTTTTAAAAAATTAATTTTATTGGTACATTTTATTGGTACAGCCTTTTACTTTGCCCTTAAAGTAAATTTTTCTTCCTGAGGAGCACATGAGGTTCAAATGACAGTCACCTCTTTGGGGGTCCTGTACCTCTGCTGCAGTACTAATCACATCCTGTTTGGAAATTGTATAAAGCTGTCCAAATAGAATGATGGACAATAAAGATAAAAGAAATATATACTAGGTTCCATATGCCCTAATACCTAGCCCTTTACTTATGTGCCAATATCCATTCCCTGCTACTTAAGGAGCTACTATGAAAAGATTCATTCCCTTTGGTTTTGAAAGATTTTTTATATGATGCATAATGCATTAAAAGGATAACATCTAATACCACAAAGAGGATTAGAGACCAAGAAGTGACAGTCACTGGGATAAGTGGAAAGGGTCCAAGAGAAGCTAGTGTTACCCTCAGGCATGTGAGAAGTAACAAACATCTTTCTCTTCAGGTAGCTGGGCACACAGAAAACTGCCAGAGGAACCCAAGAAAGGAAGAATCAGAGCAGCCAGAATCACACACACCCAGGAACAGGGCAGGTGTGTACATGTTGGAGAGACGATGTTTTTCTTTGGCTCACCCATATTCTGAGTGAGACCTTTGGCCCAGTTCTAGAAGCAGGCTGAGCCTCAGTAAGCTGAGGCGGGGCTTCTGGAGGCAGGAGTCCCATGGTTCTATAAAGCCCAACCAGGAATTGCTAGGCATCTCTCCCAAGGGCTGTGAACTGCTAGCTTTCCACTTGCTTCCCTGGAAATGCAGCGGCTACTGACTCCGGTGCGGCAGGTCCTGCAAGTGAAGAGGGTGATTCGGGAAGCTTCCCTCACACCTGTGCGCCTGCTCCCAGCAGCCCACCAAAGGTAAGCCACCTGGTTCCAGAGGTCTACTAGGTCACCTTTTGAGAAGCAATATAGGACCAGCAAAAGACAGGCAGATGGCTTGCCAGAGGGAAAACTCACTAGACTTTCCAGTCAAAACTGGCAAGGCTTATGTATAGCTTTAGACAAGCAGATTAACTTCTCAGGGTCTCAGTTACCTCATCCAGAGTGACAGTCCCTTTCCCACGGAACTGGAGGATGCCAAACTTCTGACACATGCTCTTTGGGAGCAACAGCATCTTTTACTTCACCAGCTGCAGCAAGCTCCAGAAATATTAGTACCAGGGCCCCCAGCCTCTCCTCCCCTCCACTCTTCTCCCCTGTACCCCAGCTCCTGCCAGGACCTTCAGGACTCTGCAACTACCGTGTTAGTGACACCAGTGGCTTTACGTCACTGCAGCAAGATCTAAAATTGAATGACGATGAGAAGTTGTGCTTTTCTGGGCTCCAGTTTTGTGCTAGAGGGAAATGAAATGTTGAGATGGTGTGCATATGTGTGCATGTGCGTGTGCTTGTACAAGGAGAATACACACTTCCTTTCTTTGTAAAATTCCCTCTAGTTTGTTTCAAGTGCTGGGGTCTCCGAGTGATGATGGTAACACAGCTCTAGTTAGTGCCTTGGGCTCGCAGCCATCTGTGTATCATCTGGTCTGTAAACCATCTGTATGTAACCCCTTTTCTCCATTCTTATTCTGCACTTGAATACTGAATACTGAAAAAATCATTTTGCTCTAGTGTCTTTGCTTCCCTGGGGAACATGGACTTACAGGTGTGGTGTGTGTGCGTGGAGGGCAGTGCTTATTACCTTGTTTATTTTCTCCTGACTCTGCCATGGTCTACATTCCCCTCCTCCATCAAACCCCTGCATACAGATCAAATGTGCCATCTCAGAATTTAACTTGTTTCTGTATTTCTGAGAAGAGGTGTTGACGTGGGTTAGCTTGGCCACTCACCAAGGGACACTGATTTCTTTGGTGCAAATCTTGGAATCCTCACTCATGGTTCTCTTTTCGGTGTACTCAGTTCATCTCATTATCCACGGCCTGGACTAACACTGAGAATGTTCTTTCTGGGTCACCTCTTCTCTAGATGTTTATCCCCTTGAATCTAGGCCTCCTCCGAGTTAAGTCCAACCTGAGAACACACCTGGTTCAGCATCTGCTTCTTTGCCTCTAAAGTGAAGCAAGCTCACACCCTCCACTCCTACCTGTTGTCTCTGTGCCCCTTCCTCTCCTCTCCTCTCCAGGTGCCCTGACCTGTTCCATCACCACTGTAGCCTTGGACTCTTCCCGCCCCTCCAATTCCTCATCAGCACAACTCCCCCATCCGTCCAGGTGGATCTCAAAGGCAAGCTCTCCCACCAAGCCTTTCCTCTTCCTGTCATCATGGAAATCTTGACTTCCTTTGAAGTCCTGCAGGATTTTGCCCACATCCTTCTTGTGGCCCTTGTCACCTTCTGCCTCACAGGCGTACATGTGTTCATCTTGTTCCTCAAGGGCAAGGACATCCTCAGGAACCTGGCCTTCTTCTCTGTCCAGCCTTTCTGTCCCATGGCATCTTCCCTAGCACAGGGCCTGGCATGTGGTAGTTCATTTTGAAACATAAGAGAAAGAGAACAAATGGAGGGCAGGAGTGGAAGCTCGATGCGTGTTCTTGAACCAGGCAACACCAAAACAAATTGATTTTAAATTAAATAAAGTGATCATTCCTTAGAGAGAGTACAAGATTAGTAAAATTAGAAGGATACTTTTTTTTCGTGCTAGCCCTGCTTCATTTTGGTTTCTTATTTTGAGACAGGGTCTCACTAAGTTGATGAATTTCCCACGCTGGGCTGAAACTTGCAATCCTCCTGCCTCAGCCTCCCAGATTGCTGGGATTACAGGCATGTGCTACCACACCTGGCATAGAAGGATACTCTAAACTACAGTGCTCTGATGCTTCTGGAAGCATTTACATGCTGTCCCTGAAATCCGTGTCCATAGGTTCTCCCACCAACACAATCACAAAAGTTAACGGGTGATTGCTTCTTAGACTTGTGCTTGAACCTTACAGAAGAGAGGGAGGGAGGGAGGGCAGGAGAGGCAGAATGAGAATGGATCTGGGAGCAAAAAGCCATCCCAGCTGGTGGTTCCAAGCACTGGCTAACCATTAGCCTTGAGCTACTGGGGAAGTGCCTCCATAAATATTTGAAAGTACAAACTCCAGTTCTTTGGAGGGTACCAAGTAAGGTGGGCAGACAAATGAATGCCAACTCTCTCTGTCAGACACTCATGAACACCAAGCACTGTGTCTGTGGGATCCACTTTGGCCTCACAGTGGTCCTTAAATGGTCCTTAAAATGGCTTTCCTGCTGGGAGCGCTGAGGCGCACAGTCCTGAAGGTGACTGTTAGAAGCAGTCTTCATGAGTCAACATGAGCTTCTGTGGCACTGAGATAACTTTAGAAACCAGGCACCCCAGGCAGTGAAGGGACAAAATATTTCTAACATGAAAAACCACAAAGTTACTCTGAATACATTGCTTCACCATTGTGTGCCTGATTTCACTATCTACGCAATGGAGAATGTCAGGGAATCGATCAGACTTCAGGTACTTTCATGTGGGAAGTAGACATGGTGAGTTTGTTTCTTAGAGCAGGGAAGAGACACTCCAGATTTTCCTCAGGAGTCAAAGTTGCAGAGAAGTGGATCTAGAAAAGAAATGGGTCTAAAAAAGAAATAGGGTTTCTCCTCCCAATTCCACTGACCTCTACCATTTTGTCTCTCTCTCCATTTGGAATTACTTTTTTTTCTGGTACCATGAATCAAACTCAGGACCTTGCACATGTCAGGCAGACACAGCACCACGGAGCTAAATCCCTGGCCCCTGGAATTGCTCTTTCTTTTCTGAGTACTCCCACAGCTCTACTTTATGGTGTATTAAGTATAAAGATGCCTGCTTCCTCCGTTAGGTTATGCCCTTTTTGTGGGCATGAAGAGTCTGTTATTCACTGTTATGTATAAGCTCTTTGTTGGATGTGCTCAATAAATATTGAAGGTAGAAGCGGCAGCATGCCTGTAATCCTGGAACTCTGGGAAGCTGAGGCACAAGATTGCAAGTTTGAGCCCAGAGTGGGCAACTTGGTGACTTAGTAGGACTTTGTCTCAAAATGAAAAACAAACCAAAAAAAAAAGGGAATGTAGCTTAATGTGAAGGACCCATGTTCAACTTCCAGTACCACAGAAAATAAGAAAAGGAAGGAAGGAAGGAAGGAAGGAAGGAAGGAAGGAAGGAAGGAGAAGGGGAAAGAGAGGGAAAGGAAGAGAAAAGAAGAGAGGGGAAGGGAAGGGAAGGAAAGGAAAAGAAAGGCAAGGCATGAAGGAGGGAAAGAGGGAGAAGAAATATTGAGAGATCCAATCAGAAAACATAAGATGACAGCAAGAAGAAAACTTTCTTTTCAAGTAGCAAAATGGTGGGTATGCTTCTGTGTAGCAAAAGGAATGACAAAGGAGAGGGGAAGATAATGCAAGGTACATTTTCAAAATGAGTGAAATTTTAGAAATTATGTCCTATGAGGGCTTCTAACATATACAGAAATAACGCATGTGACAATAATAGCTCACAGGGATAGAGAGGGTAAATAAAATTAACCTAAGGTAAGGCTTTTATATTGTTCAGAAGGTGGTAGTATTGTTTGTTTTTATTTTTAATACATGGTATTTGTACATATTTTTAGGATACAGTGCGACATTTCAATACATGTATACATGTGTAATTATCAGATTGGGACAGTTAGCATATCTATCAGTGCAGATATTCATCCTCTCTTTGTATTGAGAACATTCAAAATCTTCTCTACTAGCTATTTTGAAATATTCAATTAATCTTTTTTTTGATACCGTAGATCGAACTCAGGACCTTGTGCTTGCCAGGCAGGTGCAGAAACGCTGAGCTACATCCCCAACCCTCAGTTAATTGTTGTCAATTATAATTATCCCACTGTTAGAAGTTATTCCTTCTATCCAACCACATCCCTATACGCATGAACTGTCCTCTCTCTATACTTCCCTTTCCTATATCTTTTCTGTTATCTGCTAACCATTATTTTTTTCCTAGTGCTTTGAAATCAACATTTTTAACTTTCACATAATGAGCGAGGATTATGTTTTACAATACAATATTTGTCTTTCTATATCTGACTTATTTCACTTAACATAATATCCTCCAGTTCCAAACATGTTGCTGTAATAACAGAATTTCATTTTTAATGGCTGAATAATATTCCACTGTATATACATACACCCAATTTATTTGCCCATTCAACTGCGGTAGACACCTCAGTTGATTCCATATCTTGGATAGTATGAAGAGTGCTATAATAAATAGGCAAATGTAGATGTCTCTTAAGTTTCAATTTCTTTGGATATATATCCAGTGGCAACATTGTTAGATTATATGATAGCTCTATTTCTAGTTTCTTTGAGAAACTTCCATACTGTTTTTCCCTAATGGTTGTATTATTTTCCATCCTCATCAATAGTGTATGAAAATTTCTCCTCTCTCTCTCTCTCTCTAATAGCCATTCTAACTAGGGTGATGTGCCAGTTAAGCTTGACTGTCAACTTGATTGGCTTGAGAGCCACCCAGAGGATTAGTAAACCACACATGGAGATGGGACCTTAGGTACTATATCTTGTCCCTGGCCCCTTTCTATCTGGTGCTGTTCTCCTGGTACTGTTCTCTGCTTTCCAGCCACCATGAACTAAGCAGTTTTGCTACTCCACACTCTCTACCATGCCATTTCTGCCTTGAATCCAGCTGCCCATGGACTGAATCCTTTAAAATCATGAGCCAAATACACCTCTTCTCAATTGTGTATGTTGGGCATTTGATCCTAGCAACAAAAGGCTGACTAATTCAGGTGAAATATTCCATTATGGTTTTGATTTGGATTTCTCTGGTGATTAGTGATTTTGGGCCTTTTTTCCTATACTTGTATGCTGG